GAATTCTTACACTAGATACCCAGCCGATACCCCCACCCCCCCCGCTCATAGATACTGCGTACTACAGTTGATTATATTTCCTGGGCTCCCTGTGGTTATACTGTGAATATTAATACGAAAGGAAACAACAGTGAAATCTTTATACGTCCTAGTGCAAAATAGTTTTGTATAAATATAACAAGATCTTTCCCATGCTGAGATTGGAGATCAACCTTTGGAAGGTGAAAAAAGAAGCAATAAATTTGAATGGTTAGAAACTTGTTAAACTGAACACTAATCCTATTTATGTGAATTATTGTTTCCACGGCAACCATTATAGTGTCACAGTATCGTATTTAACGGCTGGTGACGAAACACTGAAAAACAAAACGTAACACTCACTGTGTCATAGGTTTTATGCCAGGGACAAGCGCCCTCACTGTAGTAGAGCTCATTCTCTGTATATCGAAGGAAGCAGTCGTAGTCCTGCCGTTGTTCTTCGGATTCTATTGTGTTGAAGACAACGCTATCCGGCGGTGTATCACTGAAACAGCTGCCCTCTGGAGAACTGTGTATATGAAACACACAAACATTTACGTAAGTCTAATTTGTAGAAGTGGACGTGAATGATATGACAATTTAATTTTTGCAGAGACTTTAGCAAAATTGTACTTGCAGCATGGAAATGTACTTTTTATTATTGTTGCCAGATACTGATGATACTTATGATGAAGAACTCGTTGAATTATGATCTATCATGACACGCAAATCCTGTTCTTGTACCCACATCTGAGTTTTCGATCGATGAAACAATAACACTAAGACGCATGTGCACCGATTGTTCTGTAATGCACAATGACAATCGTTGTGCATGCGTATTGGTGTTTTTTTATTATTCCATAGACCTTAGAAAAGAGGGACGTGCAACTGCGGTACTCATAAAAGGGAAGCGCCCACACGGTGTGCAACGTTGGTTATAATCCTCTGCTCTGTTAGGTCAGGTTGCGACGTCATTATACACAGTAAATGTGTAATTTTAAAACTTAGTAATCGTGTTTGTAACTCTTTTCTAAGGTCCATGATTAATCAAACAAAACGTTTTTAGTTTATCATAAATCATTATTCGTTTCGTTCTAACAACAATATTAAAAAATATATATTTTTGTTCATGTTTCATTGTTGAGTAATAGGAATTTTAAAGACTGTTACATCGTTACATTGGAAGAATATGTTTTATGTGGTGATGTCCCACTGACGAAATCTGCTGTTCTCACAAACGTTGTATGTCGCATATATCCAATACCTAACACTACTATGACATTTTTAAAAATCGTTTACCAATTGTTTACATTCAGCCTATATGATGTATGTTGAACAAACAGTTGATTAAATGTTGACATCAACATATATGGGATTGTACATTTCATTTTACATATCTAAAGCTATGTATTATATCAGAGGTACATTACTTGGGGTTTGCAACGCGCATAGTACTGTATGGTGACATCATGCCAAGATCCCATTCAAGTCTCTTCTCGTAGATAGCGAGACTGGTGCTACGACCTTCTGACATGACATAGGCGGTTTGTAATAAAACATCTATTACCACATTCATAGTGAAAACATGTAATACATCGAAAATGTACAGACAATAGAGTTATCGTAATCCGTCATATCGTGAGCAGCTATTTTGATCCACCTGGACATCCCAGTATCCTAGTTACCTCGGTCATGCGCATTCGCATTTTTCTGAGTTGGAACGCTTATGCGAGAGCGAGATTAAAACGGGATCTTGATATCATGTCACCGTAGTTTCAAACCCCAAGTAATAGTTCTCTGATTATATCTATATTAGTATTCGTATACCTACTGCGTACCTTAAATAGGAGACTGCTGCAAGTCTGTTGCATTCAGTGAACGAGAGAATATTTACATCGGACATAATACCAATTGATACGCAGGCTTCGTCGTTCGAATCATCGTCCATACCAAGTCTATTTAGAAAGATCACAATTGTCAATTTAAAATGTATCAATAGAATGTAGAGTGCGCTGTGAGTGTTGAAGGAACCCCTACACGCAAATAGTCGCTGACATCGCGTTGACTGCGTGGAAGTCCTGATACTTGTTTATTCCACTCAAAGAGACACGCTACACACACTATTATAATCACACACTATTTTCAGGGCAACATGAAGTCCCTCTAAGGTCTTTTATGTAATTATACGCACATGTGACACAGATTAGTGCAATCGATGCCATCACCAGCATCAACTGCGTTATAACTTATAGCAAACGTCTTTACACATAGGTGTTGTAATTGGTGGACAACTACAACTACAATTTCTTTTCATCTATGTACGCTACTTATGCGCTATGACGCGAGTTGTAGAAATGTGCATTACATGAGAATTGTAACTTACACGTGTCCAAAGAGACGCGCCAGTACTCTGCCCGTGTGCTCACTCTCGTAGTATCTAAGGGCGACGTAATGGTTATCCACGTGGCAACCTTCGAAAGACGATACACCATTATCATCACCATTTACAGTAATGGAGCTCCTGCAAAAAAAAAAAAACGAACACAGAAATCACACAAACATACTTTCGGGAACTTAATCATGAAGCGCTATCGGAAAATTTCACGCAAGCTTCTTAAACAGTTTGTGCTTACCCTCCTATCACCATAGCAACGTCGTAGTAGTTTAGATCATCATCACCTCCAGCGTTCCAGAGCGGTTGCTCCCACTCAAAGGCAAACATTGTAAAGAGGTCCATGATATCGTTCCACTTGGATAATCCACTCATCTCCTGTTAATCACAAAATAGATTTTGGAAACGAATTTTTGGTAGTTGTTGTTTAGAAAAGCAGCCATTTCAAAACCAAGCGACGTATTTTATAGACCACGCCCATTTAGGGGATGGTTTGATTTCTATAAAGTTACTAGCAAATAATTATAAAAATGTGCATTATGGGTAAATAAATGTGTAACACATTAGATCAACACAAGAAATGCAGTAATTATTTTACACGGTTGTATCCTGAAATCCGCATTTTATTCGAAAAAACAAACAAATCTTCCATATTCAGTAGGGTTATATAATTCTTATATTTAGTTTATTCTTATATATTTATATTATTCATATTATTTATATTTGAATCTGATCGAAAGTCATAATTTGTGAACGCGTATCCCAGACTTCGTCGCTTCCTCTCATTTGCACAAATGACCGCCGTTTTATGATCAGCTGTTAACCGACCGTTTACCCAAAATACAATCAAGAAATATTGTGAAAAACAATGGACAAATTGGAATATAAAGTGATTGTAGTCATGACGTCACAAAGTTCACTCAGCTTCATGGACCAATCAGATTACTGGTATTTTCAGTACGTAGTATGATAATACTGAAAATTATTACACTGCATATACAATTATATTAAAACGTTAATTGAAATACCAGTCATGTGAATTGTAATGGGTTAGCATATTTTAATATTTGTTACCATTCACTGTCACGGATGATGCAGCATTAAAATTAGTTAATATTTGTCTGCTGTTATCAGATCTAGAGATATAAGCCATTTGACCTGATTCATTACTATGTGTTGACGAATACTAGTATTTTATCGAGTCACGAAAGTAATTTCGGGTAATTAAAACAAATAACACAAACATCACAGTGTGCTTTGATTTAAAATATCGACTCAATTTAAATATGTATTATCTCACTTACCAGCAGTTCGTTGTTTTCTATAATAAACATTTTAACTATTGTAAAGCTGATCTTGATATCATGAGTTGCCAAACTGCTATGCATGAATATGGCCTGAGCCTGAAAACGAGTACCGCAAAGTATGCGAAAGACTATTTAAAAATATATTTACAATACAATATCACAGTAACAACTGCATTATCTTGCAACGAAGATTTACAAAACAAAAACAACCACGAGTAAAGGTAATCGAGTCCACGTGCAACTTACCAAGTTAATTTGCCACAAAGCAAAATCAATCGAAGCCTGGAAACCCAGCTCAGTGAATACGTCATAGTCAACGGTCACCATGACTTCCAAGTGTTGATGGGGTATCGCCACTTGTCGTTTTCGTCGATCACGGTTCACAGCTGTAATTTGTACAGTACAAGAAATGAGTGACGTAATGCCTGTGTCATTCTAAATGTCGCTTAGATGTAACTGGCTACTGAGATTAGTTTAAGAGCGATGAAACCACGCCACTTGTTTTGCCCACATGGATCACATTTACTGTTCTACTGATCCATATGTAACAATGGTATTTGTCACAGTGGACGCAATTCCAGGGGAGAGATGAAACATTATTTATGGGACATAAAATAGTCACGTGTTTATTTATCTTGGTGTCCATTTGTGCCTATGATCTACTTCTTAAATATTCAATTTCGGCTAACTAGTGCGCATCGAATTACACACAAGACGCACAAAGTCACGGGCGCGTGCGCGCACACATTTGCACCAAGCAATCTGTATCTGCAAAAACCTCGTACGATCGATACATATATATTTGGAAGATTTTCCCGGTGAATATAACATGCCCAGCTCATTACATTCAAGATGCACACAGTCACAGTCACGGGCGCGTACACGCCCACATTTGTACCAAGCGACGTCAATTTGCTATGTAATTATAAAACGACCAGCTCCGAATGACGCACTAAGGCCACATATATCACGTGACACATGTGTAAGTACGGCCCATGTATGTCACAGTGTCCTTATATGGCAGTGTATTGTGAAGTGTAACGATATGTAAATGTATTCCATACCTTCTAATCGTACTATATCATGAGACAAATCGTCTTCTTCTTCGAGGGCTGGATACATTATATGCAAATCCGTGATATTGGAGTGACCAATTCTATATGGTAATATTATGATCTCGTTATCACCAAAGAATAACGATCCTTGCTGTTGGGATACAAAAATATTGTGAACACAGTGAGAAAATAGTTGCGGAGATAATGTATTTAATCGTGCAGTAAGAGTGACATTAAGGCATGTAATACTTTTCCATGGTAACCCCCTGAGCGTCCAATCCGATTGGTTTTTGCACGCAGTTTGAAATTGTGACGTCACCATCTAGTCACCTCCTAAAATGCAATTACATAGCTCGATTAAGGACTTGATTTGTTTTGTGAAAACTGTGTTTCTATACCGCAAATACATTGATGGAGAACTTAATTATATTTTTAATCGCGACCCGTATAAATTAGAACGAATCACGTCAATGAAGATAATGTGCTAAGGCGCTCAGGACGCACACACACAAATAACGATTCTAATGTTAGTTTCTGTAAGGTATGATATGATAAGTATGACATTAAAATTCGTGGCCGTATTGTCGAATTGTTTAATCTCCTGCCAAATTGCTACACTGGTTCTAATAAATACAATATTACATTGCCATTCATTGGATATTCTCTACACTATATGCGAAAGATCGCGTTTGACAAAAGTAACACATATAATAAAAACGTAGCTCTCCATGGCCATGAACTATGACACATTCCTGAGAATAGATGTGCACACGCTGTTTTACTTACCAATCCGTCTGCCTGACTAAAAGCTGCGACACCTTGTTCGAGAATCTCGGAGGTGACGGGATCTTTTTTGTCGACGTAACCAACAAAATGTTTATGTGCAGCATACGGTAATGCCTCAGTCACATTTTGTGTTGATTGTATTCTCATCACTTGTGCAGCGGGACGGATTAATTCTAAGTTAAATAAATATAAAATGGTATAAATATATAAAGGGATAAATTATACATAATGCTAATTATGATGACTCTGAAGAAGCCGCGAATGCTTTGTCCAATTTCAGCACAACTTCTTCCGCTTTGGGCAGGATGTAGGAATAAGTTTTTGGCAAGAAGTGTTTTTTTTAAAAATAATTGTACGTTTTACATCTTGATTTCTGGATTACTGATATATGGTATCATAATATGTTAAAGCGGGAGAGTCGTCATCTGCGCATGCGTCAGACGGCCATAGCGCGTCATTGTTTACAAACAAGCGTCTACCCATGATCCTCTGCGTTTTTAGCGTGTGTTGTTATCGTCGCTTGGGACTCGATTCTGCGCTAATCACATGTGACTCATATGGCTGCCTCCCATGCGGCAAGTTATAAGTCCAACATTACATTACCTCATCATTTTTTTTTCCCGCATCTTTCTCTAAAACCGAATGGCAAGAAATCCCATTAATTAGATGGAAGTTTGCATGTTTACTTGTTTGTTTTATGATGCACTGTAAGTATTGGCAATTGTCGACTAGATACGTACTACAGAACTAGCTGTTTTTTTCCTGAGATTCTTTAAAGGGAGAATGGCTTAACAATCTGTGCTCTCTGTTTCCATCTCTATTGTAGACGTTTTGAACTAGAAAACATGTGTTTTTCTGGCACGTGGCTTTAGCAAATTAGAATACTATTTGCTAACTTAGAAACTAACCAAAACGCTTACACATATTCTCCATGGAAATACTGTTAGTAGTATTAAACCCAAACGTCGAATATTCTACAAATATACTACAAAGAACTACAAATAATACAATGACCTGTACGCAATTGTTTTTAGGATCCAAAGCACTATGTCTTACAAAACAAACAATTTCACCAGCCTTTTGCTGATGATGTGACTAACATATGTATACTTACCCAGATTACGTCTCATTGTGACAGTGAATTTAGCGCCTAAGCCTTCGAAACTAACGGATTCTGCCTCGCCGTTCCATCGCTGAATATTAATAACCGGCGATATCAAATCATACATGGGATCTGAAGGGAAAGAAAACGTATATCCACTCTTATGCCAATGGCTAGTATTATATTGTAAGAGCATAACAATGGAAAAAAATAGTAAAATCTATGCTTTTAAAATGCCAGAAAAAAAAAAAAAACTAATCAAAAAACGAAAATCGAATATCTATAGCTTGAGTTCAATACGAATATCACAAAAATGTGGTGCTATGCAGATAGCTGAGTCCTGGTGTGCATTTTCATATGTTGATGTATAATTAATATAGTTTAAATATGATTGTACAGGGGAGAGTATCAGATACGATTTGACCCGATACATAATTTTGGTCACGTCAGACTAGCGTTCGAATTTGAACCTCACGATAGATGATCGTGTACATTAAGCCCAATATTTTTCTATAATGATTAATTTCGAACAAATAACTTTATACTGAACCCTGTGTGACATTGTCGTGCAAATGTCAAAATGATCTTCAAAATCGTCTAAAACACTCCCTCGTTGTTGGTATATGGGTAAACGCAAGTACAAATAACCTTGCAAAATACATACCGAGAACTTGTCTTTTGGATCGTCCATTTTTAAATATTCTTGACAACACCTCGTCGTGATGGAACTGTAAAATGTAAAATTAACTTGCCAATTTACAAATGATGATTAAAGTGGGGAGGGGGGGGGGGGTTAGGGTTACCTGCGCATGCGTCACCTGCGCATGCGACAAACGACCATAGGGTGTCGTTTTTTTACAAACAAGCGTCTACCCATGAGGCTTTGCGTTGAGCATGCGTTGTTATCGTTGCCATTGACTCAATTATTGCGCATGCGCAGCTGACAACCCCTCCGCCTTAACCAAACAAATTTACCAATGGTTTATGGTCAAGGAATTTTCAATCTAACCCACACTTATAATACGTCCAGCTTTCACTTTGATTACATTTCATAGTTTTAAAACGTGCACACGTATGCATAGATATGACCAAATATATGTATTACTATTTTATTGTGATCGCCGAAAACACAAGTGCGCATGCGTTACCGTCTAAATCGAGTCCATGTTTTCGTCACGGTGTGACGAAGCATATATGTATATATCACTATTTTTAATAAAAAAGAAGTAAAACAATAGGCCTGTATAATCTATCACATATGTAGGTCAATGTCTACACATCAAACTTTCAAAGTACTGTCTCATACTGTCTCTGTGTCTGGATAACATGACATCACTAAATTAACTAATTCCAGACCATTTTCCGTTCAATGCGAGAATCACGCGTTATGCGTGAAATCGAACGTAAAAACAGGACAAACAAAGGTCATAGCGTCGTAGTGGCGTCAAACATCGCGTGGGATTCGACAAACGCGAAAATATTTTGGGGATATTTCCATGCTTAATAATGTGCTGTATACATTTGATGATAGACAATTTCGATTAAGTGAGGGTAATCGAAATCAATATTCCTCTGTCGAAGATCGGCCGGTCGATATGAGCTACGAAATAAAAAAAATCGAGTTCAAAATCAAATCGTTCGATTTTTGCGGCAGACGTTCGACGTTCGCGAGATCTCGCAGTTGAACGGAAAATCACCTATTATCTCTAAATTGACATTGAGGAAAATAAACTGAAATGAAACTGAAACAGTCACTGTATACAATCACAATTTATATTTCATTGAACTGTGGCAAAAACAAGATACAGGACTGACTTGAACGTTACTAGCCCTAGACTATATAGAATGGGACCTGACTGAAAATTGAAAAGTACAAGTAATTGCATGCATGCATGGAAACATGCAGGGCTTGGAAATATGGTGTAAGCTAGCAATCTCAAAGTGAAAACTAATTATTGAGAACGACAACACAAAACAATTCCTACGTAGGAGGCCGCCATGTTTTGAAGCATGCTTTATCTGCCGAAATGTACCATACCGTCAAGATCCATGACAAAGTGAGAAGGAATAACAAAAAACAGCCAGTCCCTGCTTGATATTGCAATGATATCAACCCTCACATTATATCCAGTCGTTATACAATAAACCAATGCCCTCTAATACACTTAGACTATATTGAGGGGGAAACTTTTCCTATAATTCATAGACCTGATCTATGAGCCGCACGATGGAAACGAAAGTATACAGCATGGACCCTGATAAAATATAGAGGGCAGCATTACAAAAACAGTACAAACGGAAAGAATTAACTGAGGGCAGTATGCTGCCAAATTGTATTTTTTTGACATTATATAACAGTAAAAAAAACACATTGTTTAAACCAAACAACTTGTTATCGCAGGTCAATCACCCGCCCCCGAAATAATGTCCGGTCAAAATAACAACATATGTATTTGCAAAATGGCTGCCTTCACTGAGAAAGTTTGTAGGTCGTGTCCTGTAATCAAAATGTCTTGTTTTTGGACGCGGGAAAACACTGTTTCGATGCAGCATTTGTATATCCGTAACTCAGTCTGACTTTATTGTGGTATTAAATGCCGGGGTGTCATGGGACAGTGTCTTCCAAACCAATTATTTCCCATTACGTGTCATGAAGATTTAATAGTCTCAGTCGGGGATCGGGGTTTTAGTTTTGGTTTTCACTAAGCATGTTGTATTTTGTAGAATTTTTATTGAAATGTCATGTACCGCACGGTTTTCCATAGTAGTTGTATACAAACAGCTATTTCCGTTTTTAAATTTGATTCAAAAGTTCAGTCAAAACTATCGTGAATATTTCAGCCAACTTTTATCCTTAAAATTTGACACTGCGTATCAAAATTACCGGATTTAAATGGGTGATGTTAATAAATTACCGATCATTCATAACAAAGTAGCTATTGCGTTTGTCCATAGTTTAAACTATATATAACCAGGTGTTTATTCCGCACATTCCGAATGACATTAAATCATATATTTTTACAAAATTGCAGGAAGTTTGTGAGATTCTACATCCGTCTTCCGTCTAAATCACAAATCTGAAAGTTATGACATTTGCGAAATATACTGGCAAAAAATGTCGTATTGGACCGTTTATCGACGATAATAATATT